CCCTAACCCTAACCCTAACCCTAACCCTAAACCTAACCCTTACCTTAAGTTGAATTGGCTTGCTTTCAAAGCGCTATTTAAAGCGCCCTTCCTTCTCCGCGCTCGCTGTTGTAACCCTGTTGATGACGTCAGTGACGCGGTTTAATCGGGCGCAGCTTAGTCGAGCGCGGTTTTGTCGTGCCACGGTTCATTTTAGGTTTTTGACACAAAACACCCTGAATCCTCAAACAAAACAAGGTGAAATAACCCTTATGTATATCCAGCACTTTACTAAATTCTGAAAATTATCCTCCTATTGCTAACACTTCCAGGGAATTGGGGGAGGGGGGACCCTAAATATTTATGGAATAATATTCAATATGATTCAATACATATTGTCTTTTTTCTTTAGTTCCTACATTCAGCTAAATCTCAGAGCTGAATGTTGAATTATATGAAAGAACAAAATATAATTGTTAAGTTTTTCTGAGGAAGGCCAAGTCATGAGGATAGGCTTAATATAGTATACTAATTTCAAACTAATCAAGTAATAGGAAAAGCCAAAACTTTCAGGTGAAAAAAGGAATAATTTAGTAAGTTGACCAGCATCTTTGCCAACAGAATTCTAGATAGACTTAAAATAAAATACCTTCCAGGAAATTAGCTCCCAATAAAGTCACCCTTGGAATTCTTTTCAAAGCACTTGACAGTTAGTGTCAATATTGATTTTGTTGGATTAGTGGCAGTAGTAAGGTGCTTTTCAGTTCCTAATCTTGCTCTTGAGAACATTAGGTCACATCTGAAAAATTCTAAATAAGTGCACCACCAGCCACTATAGACATACGGTAGAATGACCAATCAGGTAGGTGCTTTATTTGTCACAAAAATTGCCTGGAAATAGCCACCTGAATTATATATAGTCCACAGTGGAGAGGATCCCAGAAGCAATTCTATAGAATAAAATAGCTAAGTTGCTACATATTACATTTCATCCAACAGGCAATATTTGGAAATGATTACGTGCTTTCACATAATTCCAAGAAATTCTGATAAGTAATCTGTATTGAAGTAAAGAAGTCAATATTTAGAAACTCTATATTTAGAAACAATACTCAAATGTTTTTTGCATGCTTCTTGTTCCTACCTCTATGAAAGTGACTTAGTTATGGTTTCTGACTCTTTTTTTTGCCTATAGTCAGATGTGCTATTCTGTTGCCTTTCACTGATGAATGAGAACTCTTCTAATACAGGTAGTCCTTAATGGACCCCCTCCAAAGTTCCAATGGTACCCCCCCCCGTGGTCACATGACCAGGTCCTCAGCAAGCAGCCTGCATTTATGGCCATTTTCAGTGTCTTCCAGTCACATGACATTTTACCATGTTTTCCCCTGAAACCTGGCATTTGCTTCCAGTTTTTGACAAAAACAGCCCATAGCAAACAATGGATTCAATTTACGACCATAGCATTCACTTTGTAACTGCAACACTCATTTTACAACTGAAGCATTTGCTTAACGATCACTGCAAAAAAGTTCATAAAATCGGTTCAACCACATGGGTGACCCACTTTATGACTGCTATGGGCAGGCTCCATTATAGTTGGAAGCGTGACCCATCAAATGCGCACCCGACAAAACCGCGGCAAGAAACCCGCGGCAAGAAACCCGCGACGTTGAAAGCGCTCCCACAAAAGAGCACCAACAAAACCGCACCCACAAAGGCACGATTAGGGTTAAGGTAAGGGTTAGGTTTAGGGTTAGGTTTAGGGTTAGGGTTATTACGTTGTTTTTGTTGTTTTTTGATGGCGCGCTTTCATTGGCGCGCATTTGTCGGCACGCTTCTGTGGGCGCGATTTCAACCTCGCGGTTTTCTTGCCGTGGTTTTGTCGGTGCACTTTTGTCGAGTGCGCATTTGTCGGTGAACCGTTGGAAGATGAGGACTACCTGTACATGTAATCTACCTCTCTCATTCATTTCTATAACCAATTACTGATCATTAATTTAGTTTGGCAGGCAACTCCAGATTCATAGACTGGAAACACATTATGCCAAGCTGTGACTAATTTAATAATAGTTTGTTTAATAAATCACTGTTTGCACAATTCACCAACCCATAAATCATGTGTTAAAAATAATAGTTGAAATATGCTAGGTCAAAAATTAACCAGCCACATTATGGTTTATACTGCAACATTTGGACTCAATAATAGAGTATTCAGAAATAGGAAAACATTGGGTTGTGTTCCCATCCAGTCTTTTCTGGCCAAAAGATTAGCTCATTGGTCCTTGTGTCCCCTTTTAATGCAAACTGTGTAGCATAAGCTAAGCATTTTAGGCTGCATGGAAAAAGGAGCACAAATTGTTCCTGTAAGGAATTACAAATTCAATCTAGTCTCATAATCCAATTAATAATTGTTGAGGGGAGGAAGAATATTGAACAGGTATATAACAGGTATGTAAAAAAAGGAAATACTACTGCATCAAATTCTTTAGTTTGCAAATTGAACTTATTGTCAGGCCTGAAGCTATCTTTTCTTTTGGATCTTTGGCCTGCCACACTTTCTCTTATCTACTATGTCTTTTCTATTGTGGGAAAATAGAAGGGGGGTTGTAAGGAGTTATACTTTGCCTTGGACTCTGATTTACTTTTGGATGCTATTTGGAACCCTGACACTTATCTCAGGATCAACGTATTTCACATTAGTTTGACATGGATGACTGATTTTGTCCTATTTCTGCCCATTAGAGTTAGCATAACTGATTGCTGCAAAGCAATTGGCTCCTGAGCTAAGATTGCAAGGCAGGAGTGGCTGACAGCCTTAGATATTACATTGAGATGTTCATCAGATTTCTCACATTTTAGTATTGTAATAATGCCCACTCCAACCCCACATGGGCCCAACTCAAACAAAGTCTTGCGTTGTTCTGGTGATACTCGTGATATTTTGTCCCAACACAGAATGAATCTGATGTCTTCATGTGGGTAGTCAGAAAGCAGTTCCAGGATCTGCATAGGTATATCAATGAAGAGAAGGCCAGATTCCTGGGGCAGATAGAAAGGAAAACAACCCGTATCATTGACTCTATTGAGATTCAGCTGAAGCAGAGAGCAGACACCCTTCAGAAGCTAAAGGAGCTGGAGAATTCCCTGCAGAAATTCAACAATGAAGACCAGCTGGATTTCATACAGGTATGGTATCTGCTAGCCGTAAATAACCAGGGACATGCTAAGGTATGCTGCCAGCAGCAGAAAATCAAAATTGCTAAAGACCCCTACTCAGAAATACAAAGCAGAAAGGCACATATTGGAATCTGAGTAACTTAAGAGAGATTTAGCAATTTGCACCTATTAAGAGTCCAAATTTACGTCACAGTTTGTTGGAGTGTAAAGGTCTAGGCATAGGGAAGAATAGTGTCGCCTATTAGGGGACTAAATCTTTGGATGATTGAACTACAGTACAGGTAGCTCTCGACTTACAACAGTTCATTTAGTGACCATTCGAAGTTAACAACAGCACTGTAAAAAGTAACATGATCATTTTTCATACTTATGACAATTGCAACATCCCTGTGGTCACATGATCAAAATTCAGACACTTGGGAACTGCCTCATATTTATGACGGTTGTAGTATCCCAGAGTCGTGTGAGCACCTTTTTCAACCTTCTGGCAAGCAAAGTCAATGGGGAACATTTAACAACTGTGTTACTAACTTGATGACGACAGTGATTCATTTAACAAACGTGACAAGAAATGTGATAAAATGGGGCAAAACTCACTTAACATATTTCACACTTAGCAACATAAATTTTGGAGTCAATTGCGGTTGTAAGTCGAGAACTACCTATGAAGGGCCAAGAGCCCTGGTGGCAGAGCAATGATACAGAGTAGGCAGGCGTACATCACACAGGTCACACAGATTAAGGGTAGGATTTTTCATTTTCCTCAGGCTTGGTAGAAGAATTTGGATGGTTTACTGTTTTATACTTTATATGAAACCTATTTTAAGTTCATAGATTTCCTTCTTTAAAATGGCAGAGAACTCTACTGTTCACTTTTGCAATTATGGTTAGAGCAATCAATTATAGCTGATATTAAAAAGGCGGTCCAGGGTCCCCTCTTGATCTGAGTAGGCATAATTTGAGATAGTTGTGAAAGTTTTAGGTGCTTCTTTACAACCTAGATTTTGAAAAGTACATGCAAATAAGGTCCTGCACTTCTGGTGCAGTTAAGGAATGTATACAGTAAGTATGCAAGAATTCCAAGGTTTACAGAAATAAATATGGATTGCAATTACTCAGAGAAATCAATAGTCCCATTTATTTTCTCCCATCTTCCTCCCCTCCACACAGACTTCAGTATACATTTAAATAGCACAAGTACGCTAAATCTGTCTATATCTCTCTCTTTACAGAAATATGGATCTCTTCCCTCCAGGTATGTAAAATAAGAGTGTATGAAAGAGAAACAAGAGTCATACTAAGATGTGTTGTAAAGAAAATGCTTTTACAGAAAAAGTGTCAAGGAAGAATTGAGCAGATACACTTGTTAGCTTCTTCAAAAATTTTATTAAGAAGCATGGTAACAGAAGCCATGCTTTTTTTAAAGCAAAATATGTGTACAACATTCCACATTCTCAGCAAAGAATACCGAGGCATGTTTCAGCAATTCCAACGTGCTGAAGTGTATTTACTCAAAAGTAAGCACTGTGATGTTCACCAAAATTTAATGAGACAGATGTGCAATGGATTTCAAGCTCCTGCAAAGCTGATGGCTGTGAAATTATGAGAAATTGAAGAACCCTTCTTAGTATTATTAATTTCCAGACTCCTTAATTCCAGAGCATATGGCTTCCAGACAAAAAGTGATTTTATGAAGTTATCTTTAGGCTTCAAGACTGGAGATATATTTCCCAGATCTTCCAAATGGGATTCTTCAGATCTGTGCTTTCTGTCTTTAAAATTATATATTCTGCCATTGAACGTTCTCATACATACATACCGGTACCTTCCTGTGGAAAGATAAAGTAATTGCTTTTATGTTCTGAGTTCTTGCTCAGAATTTTCAATCCCATCCATTAAGATAGGAACTGAACATTTTAAAAGAAAATTTTGGGGAAAAATATTAATGGAAATTAATACGTACCCAGGTCTGAACTTTCCTATCAGCACCCAACCGAAGGCATGTACAGTGCGGTTTCTTTTAAGCCTGACTTCCATCAAGAGGATGTAAAGATGATGGTGTGGAAGCGTCTGCTCCGTAAAATCCTTCCAGGTATGGGTGCTGTTGGAGGAGAGGAAGAGGGGAGGGCGTTTCATGACCACTTCCACATACAGCACTTAAAATATTTGTGAATCTGTATCTTCATCATGCATTACTGCTTTTCAGATATCAAAATTAAAAAGAATGGTAGACTATAACCTAATATAAATGTGTATTATTATTACATAGTACATTAAATACATAGGTTGATTGAACATTATTTATTTGAATGTAGGTGCCGCACTGTTCACACAGATTTGATTTTTTTAAAAATAAAATAAAATTCTTGAAGAACTGAAGAAGCTTTTTGGATGAGAAGTGAAATGTCTTAAAAGAAAAAAAAACAGAAAGTCCAGTTGCCTCTTGAAAAAAAGCACTTTTGGGACAACCATGACCTGGATGACTGAGGATCTCCATAGACATTTATTGGGGATGATGTTACTGTTTTTAAAATGCTTTTTATTACTTCGATTGTTTTTATACTTCTGCAGCAGAGTCATCAATTAAGAGGGGTGGTTATAGAAACTGAATTAAAACTAAATAAATGAAAATGGTTCTGGTTGGGAAAAAAAGAATTAAGAGAAATGGGGTTGAGACTGTAAAGCTAACAAACGGCAATGGATTTTGAGAGTGCTTTCTAGGTTTCCTGAGTTCTGCAATCACTTGTCTATTATGAAAAATTGAGGCTCATTCATATACTTTATTCTATTGAGGCCAGTGGTGGGTTACAATCGGTACGCCCGGTACAGGCATACCAGTGCCTGCCTGGAGCACCTGGTACCATTCCGGTATGGTGCTCCGGAGGGCCCACCCACCCTCACCAGTATTTGAGCTCTTCGGTGCTTCCGCACACGGAACATACAGCATCTGTGTGACGCTCCGCCGAGCAGGAACATTGTGAAGGTGTTGCGGAGCATTGCAGGCGGTAAGTATGCATGTACATGCTGCCCGTGTGCTGCGCGCGTTCATGTGGTGGATACCAGTTGCAATGGGATCCAGAACCCACCACTGATTGTGGCCTATTCGATTCTGTTCATATAAAGAAGGAGGCCTGATCACTTCAGTTGATCTTTCTGAATATTACCAAGGGTTCCTCAAAGAACTTTGATTTTTACTCCTTCTCATAGCTCCAGAAACGCTGAAGCTGGATCCGGTGAGCGCTCATCCTATGCTCGAGCTGTCCAAGGAGAATACCATGGTGAAATATGGCCTGTGCTTCCAACGGCGAGATAGCAATCCTGAACGCTTTGACTACAGCAACTGTATCCTGGCTAATAAGGGCTTCTCCTGGGGAAAGCATTACTGGGAGATTATTGTGGGCTCCAAGAGTCACTGGCGCCTGGGCATCATCAAGGGCACAGTCAACCGCAAAGGCAAACTGAGTAAGAGTCCAGAAAATGGGGTGTGGCTCATTGGCTTAAAAGAGGGCAAAGTATATGAGGCCTTCAATACCAGCAGACTGGTTTTACCAATTTCAGCCCGACCCCAACGAATTGGGGTCTATCTGCACTATGAGAAGGGAGAACTAACCTTCTACAATGCTGACAGCCCGGATGAGCTGATACCAATCTATACTTTCCAAGCAGAATTCCAAGGCAAGCTCTATCCCATTTTGGACATGTGTTGGCATGAGCGGGGTATCCATAACAACTTACCCATTATAGTACCTACTCTCAAAATGCTGCAGACCGAGGATGACTGCACCAATACTGATGAGCCCACCAAATTATAATAGGAAGTTTCCATTTGCTCCTATTGCAGTGATGGTGAACCTATGGCACGGGTGCCAGAGGTGGCACATAGAGCCCTTTCTGCAGGCACGCAAACCGTCGCCAGCTGCTCTTCTGGTTTCCATCGCGCACATGCACAGCTGGTCTTTGCGGGTGCCGGAGCATTGGAAAAAAGCCTGAAAATGCCGCCCCAAACAACCAAAAAACAGACTGTTTTTCAGGCCATTTTTTGTATTGTTTTCAGGCCAAAACCAGCCCGAGAAACGGCCTGAAAATGACTCAAAAAATGGCCTCAAAACTGGCATGCACGTGCCGGCCACCTGGTTTTGGGGTTTTCAGTTCTCCGGGGCATGTGAAGACCAGCTGGCCAGTGTGCATTCGCATGCCAGAAACCCGCCCCGATCAACTAGTCTTTGAGTTTCCGGCATTATGGCACGCACACATACACATGCACAAATGTTCCAGTTTGGGCACTCGGTGCCGAAAAGGTTCGCCATCACTGTTCTATTGTGTCAAGTTACCAGCTCCAGACCATCTTTATGGGAGCAATAAATGCAAACCTAACTGAATAGAACTCGTTCAGTGTAAATAATTTCTAGAGACTTGCTTCAGGACTCTGTTTTGTTTTTTAGTGCACCTGACTATTTAAGGGCATCCTGGCTTTAAGGGGCCAAATCATATATTTTTTTTCAATTTATTAGTCATAGACCAGAAACCAGAGTCTCTGGCCTGGACTACCTATAAAGCAACAGAGCAAGCTCCATGCCAAAATGTAGAATCTCAATGACATCTATACTTTCCACTGTTTAAGGATAGTTAAGTCCAAAAGGTTTAATCCAAAATTACAAGAGCTCAGTTGAAATGAACACTATATTTTCATTGTTTTCAGTGTTTTTTTGCAGAATAACTTCCTTGTGATGCATTGTTTGTGGCCTATGGAGGAGTTCCACTGGCATTCTAGGAAATGATGCTCAGAATCTATTGCTTGGAACAAACATCTCACTTTGCCTCTAGGCTGCTTCTGGGAAGCCTGCCAGGCAATTGATTTCAAAGGGCCACTTTTTTCCCTATTTCTGCTTTTCAATCTTCTTTTTTCCCCCCATTGTTACCCATTTTAGCAAGTTTTACAAATCTGAAAGGCTAAATACGTTGGATTTTCTAGACAGTACTAGTTCTTACTGTTATTTAAATTTAAAATGTCCAATTTAATATTTCTATTGTAGAGTTTCAAGTAAGACCATAATGAAATATTTCACCAACGTGGTAAAATAACTGCAAGACAATACTTAGCACTATCACTATGCAAATATAACTAAAAGGTTGAGGTATTCATTAATTTCTATCTGTACATATTAATGCATTAAATTTGTTTACTGTGATTTTTTTTTCAATTTTAGCACCTGCTTATTAGGTCTCACCTCTTCTCTTTGCTTTTAATGGTTTCTATTTGCTTTTAGTGGTTTAAAAGACAATACTGTTTTTTAATATTTTATACTGAATAAAGTGATTTTACAATCTTTTTAACTGTAGAAATATGCTTTCATGTTTTGCAATACAAAATTAGAAGTTATAGAATTTCATTACAAGTTGTTTTAAGGCCCTCTTCCGGGTTTTCTATATTGTGAAATATAGAAAGGTAAGAAGGTGCAAAACAGGTGTAAGACTATAAACAAAGTAAAAATATCAGGTAACAAAAGGATGTTTAGTTAAATCTACTTTGTGCCAACTAATTTTCCCCTTATGTACATTTATTTGAAAACTAGCTGATAACCCGGCACTGCCCAGGTATTTATTTATGCCAACCCTCCTTCCATGAACATCAACGCAATTTCTAACCTTGGCTTTTTCCCCTTATCAGAGGGAGCCCCCTTGTAAAGTACTGTGAAGCCGTTACCATGGCAACTCCACAGTGCTGTACAGAAGCCATTTTACGGCAGTTCAGTAGAATCCATTTTAAAGCACAACAGGCTGTAACACACCCAAGGGGTATTAGGGGTGTCTTACCCCCGCAATATTTGTTTCCAGAGAGGAAGTCATCTGTTTACCAAGTTTGATTGAAATTGCTCAAGGTGTTCCAGAATTATATGTATGTATGTATGTATGTATGTATGTATGTGTATGTGTGTGTGTGTATATGTATATATATAATGGCGCTGTGTGTGTGTGTTCCAGCATAATATATATATCTTATATGTATGTACGTACGTATGTGTTGTGGCCCAGCAGGAGCTGTTGGAGCTGCCACCACACTCCGACAGCGAGGGGCCCTACTAGTCGGCTCTGGAGGATGTGGAGGACCCTGGACAGAGTTCCGATCCCCTGCAGGGCGCAGAGAGGCTGGTTGGCCACCAGGAGGCACCTGAGCCTTGGACCAGTGGGGTGGAGACAAGGGAGTGTGATCCTGACATCAGCAGTGAGTTGTTCCTGGATGCCCGGCAACCGAGAGCTAATAGGCGTAAGGAACAGATGTGCAGTTACAGGAGGTAATTGTACTCAGCTGCTGGTAATTAGGCTCCTCTCCAGACTATAAAAGGAATGCTGGTGCACACGCCCCTTTTACAGAAGTCAATGCATTAATGAATGTTGGAGAACAGTATTGTAAACCTGGCAGGATGGATTGCTGCCACAGCGTATCTGTGTTGGATTGCTGCCAAGACTTATCTGTGCCGGTTTATATACATACACAATTTTTCCTAAATTCATCTCTGGAGGTTCCATTATATTTATTATAATGACATGCAACGATCACCAAAAATTCCTGCTTTCAGACATACCCACAGCAACTTTTGTGCACGTGCCTTTGAGTCAGTTTGAGACTCCTAGTGACTGCTTGGACCAGTCTCTACAATTTTCTTGGCAAAGTTTCAAAAGTCATTGCCATTGCCTCCTTCTTAGGGCTGAGAGTGTGTAATCCAAGGTCACCTTGCTGACTTTGTGCTTTAGGTGGGACTAGAAATCACACTTCTGCTCTCTAGCCTGGGATACTATATCACACTTGACTCTCCAAAACAATCTAAATATCAATTTATGCTTTCTGTCATATCAGTTCTTAGAGTATACAATCCATCAACCAGCTCTATCCAGTCTCAAAGTGCTGTTTTTCAGACAAAACAGTTCTCTAACTCACCTGGCCCACTTTATTTTGTGCTATAAAGCAGAAAGAGAAATAAACTATATTGATTATGAAGGAGAAAGACTCAAAATACATTTGAAACAACATGGCCTCACTGAAGAGTGAGGAGAATACAAAACACAACCTTTGGAGTTTGAAAAACTTTTCCAAGGTTATTTTCAAAAGCACAAGAAAGCAAAGACAAGGAAGACAGAATATATGCCATGTGCTAATGTGGAAATAAACGTGTAAAATGTCAAGAGAGAGAGGTGACACTGGCTGCATTAAAGAGCCATGTGGTGAAGTGGTTAGAATGCATTACTGCAGGGCTAATTCATTGCTGACTTCAGGAGTTCGATTCTGACCGGCTCCAGGTTGACTCAGACTTCCATCCTTCTGAGGTCAATAAAATGAAGATCCAGATTGTTGGGGGAAATATGCTGACTCTGAAAACCCACTTAGAGAGGACTGTAAAGCACTATGAAGCGATATATATGAATTGCTATTAACAACAGCTCATACAGTTGTGCCATAAACTAATTAAACATGCTAAGCCACAAACAACTAAGTTTGTGGTTTTGCACGTTGCACCTTAGGTGTGTAACATTTTGCACATACAATCATTAAACTATCTGAGATCAAAATCTCTGGCATCAAAATCCATATGCAAGATTAAAAAAAAGATTAGAGTATTATGACAATTTATTTTATTAATTTTATTAATTAGACTTATATACCGCTTCATAGGGCTTTCACCCTCTCTAAGCGGCTTACAAATTTTTTAGCAAATTGAGCCAGCAACTTGCCCCCACAGTCCGGGTCCTCAATCACCCCCCCCCCCCTTTATATTTTTATCCTGCGCTTCCCTGAAGTTTACAAACACAATATAAAGCCCTCAGTTCTTCACATAGTTTCATCTTGCAGTTTTCTAGAACAGAATAACAGCCTTGGAAGGGACCTTGGAGGTCTTTTAGTCCAACCCCTTGCTTAGGCAGGGAACCCTACATCACTTCAGACAAATGGTTATCCAACATTTTTTTAGAAACTTCCAATGTTGGAGCATCCACAACTTCTGGAGGCAAGTCGTTCCACTGATTAATTGTTCTCACAGTCAGGAAGTTTCTTCTTAGTTCTAGGTTGCTTCTCTCCTTGATTAGTTTCCACCCATTGCTTCTTGTCCTGCCCTCAGGTGCTTTGGAGAATAGCTTGACTCCCTCTTCTTTGTGGCAACTCCTGAGATATTGCAACACTGCTCTATCATGTCACCCCATATCCTTCTTTTCATCAAACTGTATATACCCAGTTCCTGCAACCA